ACTGCCACATCTTTCTCCCATGGAGCAGCTGGGGGATTTGAACCACCAACCTTTTACTTAACAGCCTAGCACTTAACCACCATGCCACCAGGGCTCCTTCCAAATTGTGTATCTTCCCTTTTGTCCCCTAAGCAGCCCCTTTCCAGGGTACAGTCAAATACCTGAAGAAGTTCCTCATATTTTTCAAGATCCTCCTCCATCAACGTCCTGATCTGGTTGTTATAGTGATGTGCAATTGACTCTTCCACAGCCACAGTGCAAGCCATGGCACCTTCCTTTCCAAGCAAGGCAGTTCCAGCTCCTGAAATGGTCAAATCCAAAGAGTCAAGGATGGGACTGATACCACCAATGAAGGAGACCATTTTAGGTCAGGGTTTCACAACCGTGGCACAATTCACACTGGGGGCAAGACGGTTCCTTGATGTGGGGGATATCCTATGCATTACAGGATGTTCAGCAGTATCCCTGGCCTCTACTCTACCCATCAGATGTCTGTAGCAACCCCTCCTCTAAGATGTGACAACCAAAACAGTCTCCAGACATTGCCAAATATCCTCTGGGGGGCAAATGTACCCTAGATTGAAAAAGCACTGTTTTAGGTGGCAGAGGATCACAGTGTTAAACCGTGAGTCACACAGTAAGATGGTTATTGTTTGCAATACTCTCTCTGACATTCTTATTATGGAAGGAAAAAGCTTTCATTTTGGGTGAGGATGTCTGATCCTTCTATACAATTTACCCTTCTGCCATTTTAAAAGAGCAAGCATATCTCAGGTTTAGAATCTTTTGTCAGACGACAGTATTTGGCTGCAACTGAAATACTCCCCAACCCTTGTGTTACTTTGATTGTCTATTCTATAGAGTCACTATGAGCCAGAAGTGACTTGACAGCAATGAAGTTTGTTTGTTTGTTTGTTTGTTTCTGTTTATGAAAGCACTGATTTTAAGATTCTATCTTAAAAGAATTTAAGCCAAAAAAAGTCAGTTAAACTTTTAGAAAAATATTAAATAATAAATGACAGTAATAGGACAAGGAGCTCTGGTGGCATTGCGGTTAAGGCATTGGGCTC